AGCTTGGCGCAGGAATAACGATTAGGTCGAAGCATGGACCGCATTAGCGAGAAAACCTCACCAAAAAGCCTGAATTACCGTACCTCCATTAAGACTGCCAGTAATCCACAGGTGATGAAAATACCGACTGAAGCCACAACATCTGGAGAAGTGCGTATACACAGAAGTTTTGGCGTTTTACTACAGTACTTAAAGTCTGGTGACAGCAAGGACTTGTCGAAGGAAGCCAAAAACGTAAAAGTTTCACTGGGGCCACAAACTTAGCACAGCGGGATACACCAGTCTGGCTAATAGGCCATCACCATCGAAGTAACTTACGAAATTTCTTAGCTCGGGAATTATATCGTCCAGCGGTTTTGCCATTTCCATGCATAGCCGGCATGCCATCCGAAGGAAGCTGTGAGATCGCCCAAAGCAGGGCACGGGGGAGCCAAGATACTGTGGGTGGGTATGAATCACGGACTTTCCGGTCAGTAAGTTCGTGCGTTAATCAACTAACCATCCCGAGCTCTTTTGATTACTACATTATTCGGGAATTATATGCTTTCTGATATTGACTCAGTATGACTTCACTCCCACTTGCCTAGAGTTTCTTGGACGAGGTGAAGTGAGGAGGTTAAGTTCCACACTGAAAACAGTAGTAATGTGAGTAACAAGATCAATCCCAGGGTGTCACAAGTATAAGAAACCTTTGCCTAAAATCAAGTATTGTTCCAATTGGTTTTGAGGAGAAACGTGACTGGATCCAGCTGAACCTCTCGTTTAGGATAGTCCTATTCAATTGAATGTGCAGTGTAAGGCCCCCATGGTTCAGTTTGTAAGATATTCCATATATCACAATAAATTAACTAGACAGATAGCACTACTCATAAGACTGCTGAAGGACTATCAGCAACCTTGTCAGTAGTGTGTCCTAGTCCCACGTGACTCAGTGAGGTCACACAGCGCTCTGTCTGCACAAGGCACAGCTGTATTACCCATTCGTATAGAAACGTTTCTGCATGCACCGAATGTATGGGGCATTTCATCAGCAAACTTGTCACGTTTCGGCATCAAGAAACCACCCGGACTACTGAGGTGGCGGAAAATGAACGCCCATGTTTAGAGTTGTAGTTCTCTGGCACGATTTTCGGTTGTGAATACCGCTATCTTTAGTCATTTTGAAGGATCCCTTAGTACGCAGTATCCGGAAAAGCGACGAATGCAATTAGGTATTTCTGACTTCTCACATTCTCTCACCGACTTTAAGGATCTGGGTACCACAGAAAAAGGACTGGAATGTAAAGTTCAACCACTGGGAAATGTTTTGACCTGAGATGGCGGCGATAAACAAACAGAATCAGTTTCCAGAGGACCAGTGACTTGAAACTAGCCATCGAGGGTTGCTAGCACGGGACACATCAACCCAAGCCAGTGCTTGTACCTTATGGAGCCGAATAGTGGCAGATGGATACGTGAACTTCCCATGGCTGTGACCACAGCATTGTTTTACCACAGACTTGTCGAATATCTGGTCCAATTTGTTTGACAAACCTGATATAATGTTTGCACTACCGTAAACTTCTGCGAACAGGCTAAAAGGTTTCAGGGCTTTGTTCGAACGGTCATACTCGTGTACTATGAGTCAATATCAGTGCACGCTGAGCGATATCTCAAGGTCATCACTTTCCTGTTCAAATGCATTTGTTTGGCGCATGTACCTGCTGGGGATTAATTTATGTATAGCAAACCGGCGAGCCAGTAGTCACGGTCTTTGTGGAGATAAAATGCCTTCAAAACATGGGAAAAACCAGTCGCGGGACCTCACTCCTAGGTTGATGGTCGCTGCAAACGGGGGTCGCACCACGAGAAGAGCATTAAACATGAACTTGAAGACGTTAAAGGGAAGCGTTTTATTCCAGAAGCATAAACCTACTCTGGGTTTTTGCACAGATCAAGGGACCTCGGGATATCTCAACGGTTGAGGCGCGAAGTTACCGACCAAAGAACCCGTAGTTCGAATCCCACCTCAGCACCTAGACTGCTCCTGTCTTGGATCGGGAAACCTGGCGGTATGTAAGCCTTCGTGTGGCATGGCAACTGTGCACCGAAAGGGTGTCACAGCCGAACGATCACTGAAGCATGTGTTGAAGACTGATGTTATGCTGTCAATGATGAATTATCAAGGCTCACCGGGTAAACGAAACACCTCAACGTCATTTAGAATGAACCAAGTAACCTATTCAATTTGTGTTGCAACCATTTGATTCTATTATGGCAATAATTCTTGTAGCAGAATCCCATGAAACGCGAATGAAGGGTAGTCGTCCTCACGTCAAGGCAGTGAACTACACCAACTAAATCAAAAGGCTTTGTTGGGAAGTGGCACATTCAATGATGAAATGAGTAAAAACAGTCGAGTAGATAAAATGTTCCCCCTGGATATTGGACGTGACCACTTTCACTCTTTCAAGGTTGCCCCATGGTGACCAGTCTGCCTGACGGAGGTAGATAGTGTGGAGTCGGGCAGAACAATTAGAAAAGATGCCATGATGAGGTGCCCCTGGTTGCAGTCAGTGTACAACAATTTCCCACATGGGCAGGTAATCGTTACAGATATTTAGAAACATCAACTCTTGGGTAACCAACTCGTGCAATTCCACAAGCACACGCAGTTGGGTCATTCAACTGGCACGCGGAACGGCAGTTCGCACACATCCGACATCCACTTATTCCTATCGTTTTGCAAGATGCGAATGATCATACAAGGATTGTGGTGAACCATAAATCGCTGAGTACCTGATCAACGATCTATCCGTAAAATAATACGAAAACTGTGTCTTGGGGTGCGCGATTTTCAATCCGTTAGAATGCCAGGTGCATAAAAACTGCTGTCACGGAAAGACTGGGCCTTAGCACGGTGTGACGATTTGTACACCTCTATAACCCACTATCTATACTGAGGAGTGTATGCGCAACACTCAGAAAGCCTCGCATTCCAGTCTGGTCAAAGGGTAGAGGTCTGACCAATACAGTCTTCTGATCCCCCAGGTCGGAGGCTGGAACTCGTGACGACTTGCTCCTCAAAATTGCCGACTACTGTGACAGTCTCACGCCAAACACCATTGCCCTGCATGTGCGCTTTTGGGCCAAAAACTTTGGTTGAGGACTCAAGTGGTGAGAAGGCGAATTTACTGACCGGAAGGTCCGTGGTTCCAACCCGACCTCTGCCTTTTGACTACCCATGTCCAGGCTTGGGCAACCTGGCAGCATCTCAGCCCTTGTGCTTCCTTCCGGTGGCATGGCAGTTAGGCACCGAAAGGGTCCTACAGTTGAGTGATTTGTAAAAAATCATCCTCTTATCTAGGCACCCTACTAAAAACCCAGCCCACGTACGACTCTGAATGGCATACTTTACCGGTGCACAAGTTCACCAACTTTGAGTTAAACTCGCAGTTTTAGGGACAAATTGTGACAAGCGCTGCATAAGTTAGTGTTATCTTCCCATTTAACCGGTCTCTCGAGTTGTAAAAAAAAGACAGACACTTCGGCTGAGTGTGTATTAAAAATCCCTGGAAGGAAACACAAAATTTTGAAAACCATCAGCCACATATAAACCAGACATGCTTAGTTTTGGCCAGGTGGGGGTGGTGGGGGTGGGGGCGGAGGAAGATTAGCAGGGGTACTAAGCAACGCGACAGGTGGTGGTGGGGGTGGTGGCGGAGGCGGGGGTGGAGCAGGGAATCCAGCAGAACTGACCGAAGGTGGTGGTGGCGGGGGTGGGGGTGGTAAAAGCCCTCCACCAGTCGCGTCCTTCGACAATGCAGGCGGTGGTGGAGGGGGAGGAGGCATGGACACTGGAACCGAGTCCATGCCGAACATAAAGCCGGGGCCAGGTGGCGGTAGTCCGATTACTTGGGGTGGTGGGGGAGGTGGAGGCGGTGGTGGAGGAGGCAACTGAAGCTGAAGCTGAGCTTGTTGAGCACGGGCTTTTTGCATTTCCAAATCACGCAACATGGCTGCCGAATGCGACTGGCCTTCCAGCTTGTAGGCGAACTGAAATGTCGGAAGAAATTTCACTTATATCAGAAGGGGCGGACGTAAGAGACAACAGAAAAAACACTATAAAAACCAACAGATAGTGTTTTCAGCTGATATGAGCTGATATCCCGAAAACCTTGGCCACATGAGGAATTTATTCTCTACTGAAACATAAGGCAGGTGTACAAGGGTCGGTTAGCAAAGTTTTACCGCAAACAGCTAGCAAAAACCCAAACTCCTGGCCTGTTAACTGCCAGGTCCCTAGATCAGTTAAGTCAGTTTGTCAGCCATAAAAAATATACCAAGGGTACATTAGTTTCAGCTTCGATCGCCGGAAAATGAGTGAGAGATATAGTCAAGCATTGCAGGTGAGACCGAGAGCAGTTAGTTCGGAAACTGTGCAGATACGCACTGAAAGGCGATGGCTTTGAAGCAAGAGATCCACTGACGGTGCCATTGAGTCATTTTGCCAGTGTTATTAGCCACTGCTGGTCGAGCTCCGGGGTCCCAATCCATAGAGGAGGCAACTGTCGAGTATAGGTGTGCCAACCCATGCTATACACCAAGGCGCGCAGAATTCATCCTTATGGCAACGGCGCGCCAGACAATCACAAGAACAGCGCACACTTGTTGTAGACCGTTTTGGTAGCTTGAGCATGATTGTGTGTATTATGGGTCTCACAGGTACCGCACAAAGGCAGTATCATGAATAGTGTTCAACGGCTAGAGGGGAGATATGAAGCAACGTTGAGGAGCGGTCTCAATTATCCCAGGAATTTTAATGTTCACCGAATATTCTCTCGTACTTTCTAATGCGATTGTGCAATCATTAGCCTGACCATCCGACTACCATTCTGTGCAGCCAACGTCCAAGCTTGCCTGAGAACATCATAAACGAGAGATTCAGCTGGGTTCCAGATGGGTCTCTCGAAAGAACCAAATTAGTTTGCAGATGAGTGTATATTCGCTAACGTCCAAGCTTGTTCAAGCTCCACTGAATCAACCACGAGACCCGAGGGAGGAAGAAGGGACCAGTTAGAGCCATCGACCATGCCCAACGGGCTGCCGGTAGTTCTTACGTTAGGAGGAGACAACTGAACCCATAACACACAAGTTATTCGAAGCACACAAACACAGATAGCTTGGTTGGTACAGCAATTTTCATAGAGAATGAACTGTGACACCGTTGCAGGCTTAATACTTGGGAACCTCTAGAGTGTTAGTGAGGGTGATTTGCAAGTGGATATACCAAATGCACATTTATATACTACTACAGTAACTCAGAACTCTAAGTACACAATACAGCTTATATGAAATGACAGCATGTGACGAACAAAGCCAGAGGCTCTCAAATGACAGCTCCCGTTAAACTGTAATGTAATTTCACAGAAGACAAATCAATATGATACAAGGCAATGCGCTGTAGATAAAGCACAAAGTTCGGATAGCAACGGAAACGAACGCACAGCTCGATAACCCATGTCAGAAACACTAATTGGCGGTCGTACTGCGTTGGACACTGACGAGGGCAACCTAAAACTCAGAGGATCAAGCACATACATATGTACGCCGGACAGCACCGTTCTTGGCTGACTAGCCGCCAACCACAACTTAGAAGTTAGGAAGGGAAACAAGACAGGTCCTCGCACAGCATTTTCCAAGTTACTTTTGATGTGGTATTGGAGATGCTAACCGATTTTGCGTCTTTTTTGTCTGGTCTACTGACTGCTGGTGTCACTCAGAAATTGGGACTCCCACACAATGGAGGTGAAAACTACGGCTTTTTCCGGTTATTATGCGGCCTACTGATTGAATGGTTCAGTCTGAATGGGGTGACACACCCAGGTATTGGCATCATGATCAGTAGTATATCCACAAAACACTAGCAAATGTATTTAAATTCGGTAGAGGTTTGGAAAAAACGGTTACTGGATTGCTCGATTCACGTCTTTTTGACGGTGTGTATTTCCTCTCTTTGCGAAGTGTGGAAGCTGACGTTGTTGAAAGGGACTTATGTATAGCACTATCTAAAAAGGATCAACTCGGTACAAAGGCCCCATCAATGAGAAGTAAGCACCTAAAAATAGGACGAATTCCGGCTATTCCAAAGTTCATCTGAGTGAGGAAATAACCAGACGACAGCAGAACTATTTGGATGATCACGGAAGCTGAAATTGAGTCAACCAACACTACAGCGTGGATAGTGAATGTCAAATTACTCCATGTGAAACACCGCCGACACAGGTACAGAAGCTAAGGGGGAACAGTTCAAAACAAGGAGTGTCTCCTAGCCTACCCGAACCTCTCAGATGCCCAGGAAACGAGGAAAAAAGTATCTGTTGGTAACGCAAAAAGACCACAGCACACCTCAAGTAAAGGTGCATAAGGGCGGAAAGGTGAGTTGAACTCATACCAACCGTCAAATGAACTGGAGTAGTTCATGAAATCCACGATTATCCCCTCAAGCTGACCATAGTGGAATACTACGTGGAAATCATTACGCGAACCGTACGACCTGCCTGTGAACAAATACATGCCGCGAACTGAGGTTATCCACCAACCGTAAATATATTCGTATAAGGGCTGAAACTTCCCGACTAATTGCGAAAAGCCTATAGCCAAACAAGAAGCCGTCGACTACCAAAGGTTAGAGCGCGAATTTACTGACCGGAAGGTTCGTGGTTCGAATCCGACCTCTGCCACTCGACTTCCCCTGTCTAGGCTTGGGCGACCTGGCATCCCAGCTCTCGTGCTTCCACCGGGTGGCATGGCAGCTAGGCACCGGAAGGGTGTTACAGCTGAACTATAAATATATAAATATAAAATGGTCACCCACAGTCGGTTGAGGTGGCAATCTGATGTTCAATGCAAGCTCGCCGTGTGTCTACCATATCGTGCCCATTTCTGTGTGATAGATGTGCTCGGTAGAAGGAAAGACGGTAACGGGATGTTACACTGCGAATAGCGACGACAAACAAAGTCAATTTATCCTTGTAGAACGGTTTGGGCTCTTTGGATGGGATCCCAGGCAGCTTGGTCACTAAGAGCTGAAAAATATGGCTCTGAATCGAGGCTAGCGGCGGATATCGCCATCGTGGTCACCTCAGCAAACCAAAAAGCAACCGACAGAAATCTCAACAAAATCCAATGAGACCAAGACGCACCTGTACGGCGTTGCAAGTCACTTCGTAGACATCACTGTACGGATCAAAATACCATGACACACATTGAACGCTTCGGTCAGCTACCCAATCAAATCACGACGAAATACAGAACGCCATGCGGGTGCCTCGATCAATTCGAAGCGCACACCACTAGGTTCAACTACCAGGCTATTTTCATTCCGGTCTACAAAAACCCGTCTTAAAACCCCGAGGGTTCCGTTGTTGAGCCTACAACCGTCGTTGTACAAACCAACTAGAAAACAGGCCAGTACAAGCTACACGTACGGGTCACCAGGTCACCTTTCGCATACACAACTGTTCGGCTTTCCCAGCACGGTGTAAGAATTACGGCTCCTCAGTTAGGTCTGATGACGGCTTCAAACTGCCTCCTTCTTAGCCCTCCTGTCTTATTCAAGCGGGTTTACAACAGATACGGGAGATTCGTTCGGCTACACATGCAGCTCAGCACATATTGCTCATGTTGTTGTGCGCTGTGTGTTGTTCGGTGTGACAAGCCAATCCAGAAGCGGATGCCATTGGGTAGTATAAATCGTAGAACATATGCTCAGGGGGTGTGGTAAGTGCCGCTTGATCAACTGACACGGAAAAGTATTCATGCAAATGGAGTTATTCCGACCAGCAAGGCCTTATGGCACGGAGCGGCTTGCTGCTCTCGAGTCAGTATTTCACGAGCCACCGTAAGGCGACGAATCACAATTGACGCCAACAGTCTCGTTACAACCGTGGTCAAGCTGATCCCCCTGTGGTTACGACACTCACTACGCGCCCCTTTTTTGAAAATGGGCACTATCACCGATTCTCCCCAGTTGTCTGGGACAGACTCCTTTTCCCAAATGCAAGCAAACAAGTCGGACAGGTGCTGACTGAGGACTTCACCCCCGTCTTTGAACAGTGCAGGTGGGAGGTCATCCGGACCGGGAGCTCGGTGGCGCTTGAGAGAACATATGCAGTCGTAAACCTCCGAGGCCGTAGGTGGTTCCACGTTCACCGTCCAGGGTTCTACTTCACCTGTGGGCTGCAGATGAGTGCCGGCTTGTGGTCACGACAGTTGTTGTTCAAAGTATTCAGCCCACCGATCAAGGCGTTCTTCTGTGTTCGAGATGGTCGTTCCATTCTGGTGTTTGATAGTTTCACTCACAGGTGGTTTCCTGGGACCGGTCGCACGGATCAACTGAAATAATCTCCTGGCATTACCTGCTCTGGGCTCACTTTCACTTGACGTCTAATGGCTCTTCGCCTCGGATTATGTTCAGGACCGGCTGGGATATTTTTTCGAGATTTAAGTAGTGCCACCGTTCGGCCTGATATCCAGTGCTTGAGTGCGCCTGGTTGG